AAAATCGCATTTTCTGATCTAAATCGACAGGTCGCGACCTATAAATGGTCTTTAAAAAATCTATAAAAATAGGCCATAATATTTCTCATAAAAACGAATAAAATTAGGGGTAGTCTTAAAATTAAAAAAATTGCATTTTCGATGGGCATCCTAATGTACAACATACTTCTAGAGTAAAATGTAAACATTTCATGAGCATCCTCTAAATTTATACGTTTAGTAAGTTTGGTGCCAGCACCTCTTTGGGCAAGATGAACTATTTTGGAAGATGACCCGAACCCTATCTCGGATTCTTTTTTTACCACTCCAATATACATACATACATATTAGCGTGTGCCGAAAATCCATTATTTTAGAATTTTGATTGGTAATAGCAAAAATATGGTTCACTATGCTCTAAAAACAGTCTGTGTGAAATATGACAATTTTTGGCCAATATCTTAGGCTCGCCCAAGTCCATAAAAGTTCAATATGGCCAAAAAATAAAAACTAATAAATAAATTAAGTAATACATTTGTTTACCAAAATTGCAATAATCTTCTAAAGTATTAGTCCTACATAATTAGGTATATGGATCTTTTTTGTAGAGAATCGAAGTTAGCTAAGAAACAATTTTTTTTAGTACTTGAACTTTGATGGACTTGGGCGAGCCTACAATATTGACCAAAAACTTTCACATTTCACACAGATATTTTTTAGAGCATATGAACATATTTTTGCTATTACCAATCAAAATTCTAAAAAAGCGGATTTTCGGCCCACGCTAATACATATGTATATGTAGGAGCCCTAACGGAGACAGTGTCTATGTCTTTGAAAAATTTAGTCTTTGGACTTTTAAACTAAGTAGGGGTAATTGGCTATATGTATTCTAGAGGCAGCCTAAAAATATGCTACAAAGCTGTGATCATTTCTTAAAACTCGTTTTTGTATTAAAAAATTATATATTTCTAACGGCCATACCTAAATAAAAGCGTCGGCGTTGTCTAGCTTTCGAAAATGTCTCATTGTTCATTTGAAGTAGCGTTGCCGCTTTGTTTAAATATGACACTTTGGCGTTAAGCCTAGGCGGCAGGAAACGCTTCCTACAACGCTTTGGTTTAGGTACGGCTGTAATGATTTTTTAAAAGTTTCAAAGCAAAGTATGCGATATGCCACCATTTTTAAACAATATATACGCTTTACCGTCTCAACCGCTTTAAGTCTACTTTGAACAACTAATTCTGTATGTTTTCGATAAGATGCATCTTGAGGCATTTTGGCAAGAGCTCGTAAAATCTTGCCATAAAGAGCTCCAAGCGTATGGTGGGGATTGCTAGCTACCGCTAATCCAGTGAGACCAGTTGTCTGAAAAAAAGGAAACATAATTTGATGTTAGAACTCTAAAAATTTAGTACAAATATAACCTAGTGTTCAACTAACACTGTACGGCAAAATCAACTTTTTTTTTGGGTATTGGACAAAACCATTTTTTTTTTAAGAGATTGACTCATAGGTAAAAAAGTAATTTCTCCGTTTTTCGAAGTTAGCCGCCGAAATCGAGATATTGGCCTTCGAAGTTCGAAATAGGACCTTTGCACAGTGGCCAATTTTTGGAAAACCCTGGCCAAAAGTCCAAAAAAAATTGGTGCATTCGTATGCATAACCATCTTATATTGTTAGGAGGGCTCTACTGCGTATCGTTATGAGACAACAAGTCGATTCTCTTAAGGCATTTAGTGCTACAGGAGATCGAAGTGACTGTTGCTAGCAATTCGCTCTAAACTTTTCGTAAATTAGAGTTTTCGTCGTTGTTAAAATCGTGGTATTATCTTTGAAAAAATAACAGTTTTCAAGCATCCGCTCATGGACATTGTAATCTAGAGTATGTAAAACATGTCTTTTCATTGCTACGCCATCTAAAAACTGACGTAAGACATACAGTTGTCCACAAAATAATAGGAGTGCGATATTTTGACCAGTTTT